CTCCTATCCATTCCTATGATGAAAATGATATTTGCAACATGTGTTGTATGCAGAGGGCTTAGGGTAAGCTATGCTTTTAATGATTACTTATATCTTGAAAAACCTAGAGGGGTATCTTTCAAGAGGAATATTTAAGAGACTCAATATAAGAATCACCTAATGAGTGTGAAAGGGCCACTTCGATGAGGATTGAATAAGGCTATATTCTCTAAAGCACTCATGAAAATCAGGAACTACCCAAGGCCAAAATAGGCACCACCGAAAGAACCAAGCTGTGTTCAGAGATATTTTGCGTGATTTCTATTGTCTTGGCTTACTTAAATAGCTGAACAGTTCAAGGCATCATGCCTATTGGTTAGCTAGTAAGTCCGATAGTCTTTCATTAAGGAAGGTTCAAAGCTGAAAGCGACCTATCCTGATGCATGATATTTCCATTTTGTACTCCTTTTGTCAGTGTCTGCATTTCATTTGCATTGTGTTGTCAATTTCATTCATGTGGGGGATTGTTGGAAAATTTTAAAAGTGAATGGGAATTGACTCCATTCAAATGAAAGGATGCAACCTTTCATTGTGTCTCTTCATATGAAAGGGTTATGAATGGTCACAAATACTTTTATAAATACCATTCCCATGGTATTCATTTGAAAAGGCAAGTGTTAGGATTCATACATAAGTCATAGTCAAGTATAAAAGAGAGAGTGCATAACACAAATTAGTTCGTTGTATACACAGAAAGTTGCGTGATTTTTGTGTAGGGTGATCCTTGTATCCTGGAGGCAAGACGTCCATCAATCGCAAACACCAGAAGTGAAGGAGAAATTCTGTCTTAAAGACACTGTGCTCAAACGCTGGCCTCGGTCACAATCTATATTAAATTTATAGAATTTTTGTAAGAAATTTCTTATATTTTATTTTATTATTTATTTGCATTAAATTGATTTTTCTAAAAATATTTTCCTACATAAATTTCCTTTGAGCATCTCAATCACCTTGTTAATTGCTGGTCTCTTTGATGGATTAGCTTGTACACAACATAACCCAACTAATGTCATATTTCGTGCAACTTTTTCATCCTCTTTAGATTCAATCCCATGAAGTCCTATATCTCCTATCACATTCTAGCTTCTTGTAGATCAAATGTGGGAAATATAAGTCGCTAGTGTCCTCAACCGATTGTCCAATGTTTTCTCTTCCCTCAACCATCTCTAGGACTAGCATTTAGTAGCTATACACATCAGCCTTGTGTGAGACTCTTCCAAAATGCGTAGAGAAGACTTCAGGCGCTATATATCCAATAGTTCCTCGAATATGCAACATGGATACAATGCTCTTTTTCTTGGGACATAAATAAATATCGAAAATGTTTGACGTTGAATATCGAAAAAACGAGCAAGGTTGCTCTTCACTTCACTCGCTGGCAATGGCAGTACATAGCTGCGAACGAGCAAGGTTGCTCTTCACTTGACTCGCTGGCAATGGCGGTACGCGGCTGCGAACGAGCAAGGTCGCTCTTCACTCGCTGGCAATGGCGGTTGTTCGGTAGCCGCCGATGACGTCTCCCTACTTCGTCTTCTCTGCCTCTTCGTCCCTCCTTCTCTTCTCTCTTTCGTTTTTCGCTTCTTTCTTTCTCTCTCCCTCCCTCACAGCCGTTAGCGTTAAAAGTCTTGCCTATTTTTTCTGGAAATAATTTTTTTTGAAAGCAATACATAGAAAAGTAAAAATAAACAGAGATGAATTTGGCAAAGTAGATTGAATAGAGAAAAAAAAATAAAACGAAAGGTAAGGGCTGAAATTATACAAAAACGGAAATTTCATCTGGAGCAATACACAGAAAGAAAAGGAAAAAGAATAAATAGAGAAATAAATAAAACAAAATGAGACGGCTAAAATTACACAAAAAGGGAAATTTTGTTTAGAAGCAACTTATAATAGCTAAATGCCTGTAAGGAAATGTTTTCAAATATGGAGGGAGAGTGAGATGGATTCTGGAACGCGTTAGAAGAAGAAAAAATAAGTTATATGTGATGCACCCAAACGGGGTTGGCTTCCCTCCAGTCCGTGTCGGTCCAGGCCGTATCGAATTAGAGGGTACTGTTGAGTTCGTGGAAGTTTATTACGGGTCTCGTTTTAATAATCTGAACCGTTCAATGTGTAGAAATCATCGAGTATTATATGTTTGTAAACAAATTACGTTGATTAGATATCGATAATTATGTGATCAAATCAGTTTTGTATTAAAAAAAAAAGTGAAAAAATAAATAGTTGACAGAAATCTGATCTGATTAGACAGCTATCGATATCAGATCGCAGTGATTTTTTACAACATATAGTACTTGATAAGTTCTACACATTGAACAGTTTGGATTATCGAAATGAGACTCGTGGTGAGTCTCACGAATCTAACAGTACTCTCCAGTCCGATCACAGACTGGGGAAGCCCAGCCCCACCAAAAAGGAATTATGTGATACTAGTACTGCACAGTGCTTTCTTCATTTATTTATTTACTTATTGAGTGAGGAATGGATCCTATTTATTATTATTTTATAGTTAGATTTGTTTGGACAAATTAGATAATAAGATTGCAAATTATTAAATACTCAAATTTTACTCTAATAATTTTTAGGGAAATTATATAATACTCTCGGAACATCACGTAACCATATTCCAAGTCAATCATCAATTACTTAGCTCTCATGTTGTTCTTCCACCCCAATATAAATTGTGAGCTACTATCTCTTTCTACCAATCAAAACCTTATAGAGTATCACATGTCCATACTCTGGATGTACTGAATAATTATGCTAATTTTTATTGTCTTGATATAGGGTCACACTTTTTGTTTATTTTTTAAGAATATGTATCCGAACATCTATATAAAATATTAAGATTGGTTCAATATTCTTTATCATGTGATTTTATTAAATTTGTGTTGTAAAAATGGACTATGAATCAAGTACAACTTTTATCAAATTTTTTATGGTACAAGAAAAGTGGTTTATTTTTATTTACTATTTTTTTTATTTTATTTTATAATTCTATTCTCAACCTTTAGATTTTGATTTGATGAATAAAATTATACAGCAAATAAGGCTGTTTCCCATTTGCATGCAGGGTGTCCTGGATGATGGAAATTTGTTATTAGTCAATGTCACAGAGACCAAAAATATACACAGAGAAACCTATGTTTTTGGACAAAATTGAAAGTCTCTCTCTCTCTACATACCATAGCTCTTCTACTAACAGTACCTAAAATGGCCAAAAATAAAAAATAAAAAATACTAATAGTACCAAAAATTACCAATTTGAAAACGAATAAATACTACCCATTGCTTTCTTCATTTATTTATTTACTTATTTACTTATAGAGAGAGGAATCGATCCCAACAGTTTTCATGTCTGATACATTGTGTTTCTTGTCACTCTGCACAAATAATGTATTCTAGCTATGCAAGGAAAGGAAATAATTTAATTACTATAGTAGAGAAAATGTGCATCGGATAATACTTGAAGCCATCTGGTTCACTTGAATAGTTTCAGTTTTGGAAATTGACGTAGTTTGGTTAATCTGTCGGACTTATGTAATTTTTTTTTTTGTCTTCACATCATTATCATGTGAGAAGCATGATCCTGATAGAGTTTTGATTGTAAAACTTGTTTACATTTTGATATAAACTTTTGGACATTACATTTCTACCGTCAGAGGCATGACCCCTGTGGCTTGTAACAAACTGTAATGCACTAAGCAGGTGTGCAATTAGAGGGAACCATAACTCATTTGGTGTCCAGTAGTCTTATATGAATTCAACTTGAGTTAATTTCAGATAATATTTAGAAGGAAAAATATATGAAATTCTTTGGAGGAGAAGCGGGCACATTTGAATGTTTAATTCATGAAAAATAATTTCTTTCAAGAAGATATTGACGGATGTGGACTGACATGAGCCATGAATAAGTTGTTTGTACCTGCTGATCGTGGTATTTATTCCTTCATGATCGATTCATACATTATGGAGTCTATAGAGACGATTTTTTTTTTTGATCAGCAAAGAAAAATTTAATTAACAGCATGAAATTAAAGGTACAGAAAGATGACATGCATCAAAAGTGATTCGGAAAGTACAAATTACCCCTACTACTGCTACTCGCATCCATACAATCAATCCCTTGGCCTCACGATTTTTTTTTTTAAACAAAAAAGTTAAGAAGGATTTAACAAGAAAATAAAATACATGAATTTCCACAAAATCAACCCACCAAAACACCCAAGTTACTCCTGCATTCCGCTTTTCAACAAACTAAAATTTTTCTCCAACACCCAAGCTGCTGCACTCCTCTATTCAACCCAATTATTTTATTCACCTATGCTGCTGCACTCCCAAAGGCCACACCAGCCAAACTATTCAGCTGTACTCCCAATGCCCACACCACCCACACCTATTCTTTTCCAAGACCCACGCCTATTCTGCTGGGAAAGAGGAGTGCACCACCACTGCCAAGACATTTAATGACCTCAAATAATTTTAACCTGTTACTTGTTACTGATCCTGACTTCTAGTTGATACTTGTGATGTAAATTTCCAACCCACGGCCTTGGGATCTAGTTGATTGAGTTTTAGCTACAATCTTGCATGTATGGCTTTGACTTAGTGACAACCTTGTAAAATTGTAATATGTTTCAATGTGGAAGGCAAGATGCTTCATATTGTGGGCATCATTGGGTTGATCAAGCAAGATCCAGCGACTGATTCTAGAAAAAAAAATGTCAACCAAGAGAAAAATTTAACTTTTAATTTACATGACTATAAACATGAGTCATGATTGTAATGTGTCTACGGAATGATTGTGGGGATCAAGATTGTTCATCTTAAATGCAGGTTTTCCTACCAACTTGTGCGGTTCTAAGCTCTAATTTTCTGGTTTTTGCATCATTTACATTCTGTTAAGTTGTTGGAAGAATTAATACTCTTCTAATGTGAGCTTGTGTGTTTCTATTCAACAGGCAGAAGCATTAGGAAGCTTCTTCTTTGCCACCATTGATGGTTCGATGGTGTCAGACTTCATTATCATCGTGAGTCGTGATTCTCATTGATGATATTCTTTTTGCTACTGCAAATGGTGACACAATCGCACTACAGGAAATATCAGTTTTGGGGGCGCATTTTTAACGACGTTTTTTAAAACGCCACTGTTTGTAATATTTAGCGGCGTTTCATAATCGTCGCATTTTTCTCTAATCAAAACGGCGCCGTTTCATGAATAGAAGACGTTTATAAACGTCTTGAAATAGTTTGTCCCGCACACTCCCTGTCCCTGTTTCACCTTTATTTTGAATCTGAATCTGACTCTCACTCTCGCTCTCACTCTCACCCGCGCTCTCTCTCTCTCTCTCAAAATCGAAATCGATTCAGATCGGTGACAGCAAACTTGTGAGCGTTCATCAGAGCCATTTCCAAGATCTTACATCGGTGATTCATTAGAGCCATTTTGAAGTTCTCTCTCAAAATCGATTCAGATCGGTGGGCGACTGTCTCTCTCTCTCTCTCTCTCTCTGCTGTCTAAACCCTAATTATCTCTGTCAGTTCAGCTCTGTGATTGAGAGATTCAGCTCAGTCTCAGCGAAACAGATCGGTGATTCATCAGAGCCATTTCAGTTCTCTCTCGAAATCGAAATCGAATTTCATCTCAGCGATTCAGATCGGTGAGCTCCATTGTCTCTGTCTCTATCTGTCTCTCTCTCTCTCTCAAGCTGAACTGATGTTTGAATTAATCTGAACTGATATTTGATTCTGACCTGAATATAAAGATATATGTATATGTATATATATAGCTGAAGTCATTCTTGTACAACTATTTGGAATAAATTAATGTGGGTTCATATATTGGGAACACTCTGCTAATTACTTTAATAATGGCAGCAAGAACACTCTGCTAATTACATTATTAATTATAAAAAGTATATATTTGCAATTTTTTTGTTTTTTTTTTTTGGGGGGTCAAAAACAAAATCAACATATTAAGAGATTTTTATTCATGATTTTAGAAAGAAATATTTAAGACTTTACATGAGCCCATCAACCACAAGTTTTGGAGCCGACACTGCACAGGATTTTCAAGATTGTCTTGCTAAAGTAAAAAAAACTCATCCCTTATTGCTATATTCCATAAATATATCCCCATTGTTTATTTATTAATACCAACAACATCATCGTTGATTTAAAAACATTAATGTTTTGTTTCTGAACTTGGCATTTGAAAAAATAATGTTGCTTTTGTATCTATATCACTGATTCTACAGACCTGGTGCCACAAACAAAACATTGTACTCTGATTATTATTCACCCATTTTGGCACCTTACAGTGAATTTATTCATTTATCTCACATCAGAAAACAAGAAGTGCATGCCACTACTATAACCCTTGTCCCTAAGGTACTTAACCCAGCGGCATGACTAATTACCGACCTATATCTTGAGGCAATACTACTTATAAAGTCCTTACTAAGATTATCGCCAATAGGTTGAAGCAAGTCATCCATCTTTTGGTAGATACCTGCCAAACTGCTTTTATTTGTGGGAGATCTATTTATGACCAAATTCTTCTCGTGCAAGAGTTAGTAAAAAATTACCATAGAAGTAATGCATCTCCTAGATGTGCTATGAAAATAAGCATCATGAATTCTTTTGACTCTTTTTCTTGGCAGCTTATCCTTGGTATTCTGGGTAGTTTTCAACGCCCTTTGAAGTTCAGGAATTGGATTGCCTCTTGTATCACCTCTCCCAAGTTTTCTATTTCCATTAATGGTATTTTGGAGAGATACTTTCCTGGTGCTAAAGAGTTGAGGCAGGGGGACCCATTAATATACCTTTCGTGATTGGATGAGTTGAAGTTTAGAATTTGAGGAGGTGGGAGTGAGCAACTTTGAGCTTGGGATATCAATATGGGTTGCCCTAAATCATTCTCTATTAGTGGCGGAATGGGCGCTGCATTATTGACTAAGCCGGAGCTTATTCATGATGTATGTGGTACATGGCATTCATGGAGTTCTATTTTTGTTTTTCCTTCTCTGTTCATTGTTTGAACTAAAAGCTTTAACCCTCATGTTGTTTCTCTGTTGATCTAGATATTGACCACATTAAAGCGAAATTTGGACACACTAGTAACATGTAAGATTCAACTTCTAAAATCATCCAAGGATACGGTAGAATTAGCATGGAGAATCGAGAAAGCTGGTGTCTCTGCTATAGCTCATTTGGATGATTAATGGGTTGGGATATTTCTAAACTCTAGCATAGCACTGAATATTTTATTTATTTATTTTTGGAGTACTGAAATTTGGTTGGTGCACTCTGTTGAAGCTTTATTGTTACACAATTTGCTTTATTTGCATTTGAAATTGCATGATGTCTTGTTCAATTAGCATTGTTCAGATTAGATAGCTTCCAAGCAATTTTCTCTTTGTAATTCGTATCTTATACTTTCTAGGAGGTAGCTAAACAATCAAAGCATTATGTAATACTCAATCTTGATGGCTTATATAAAATTGGTTCATCTGGTATGGTTGTTAGGTCTGCAAGTTTAAAGATGAAGCTTCAACAAAGAGCTTAGAATGTAGAATTTGCTAAAAGTCTCACCCTCTTTAACCTCTAGAGGCAAAATTTCTCTTGGTCATTGTTGTTTAGAATCATTTAGAAATGATCACAGGACAATCCCATCATGATATTAAGAAAATAAAAATGAAATTTGAACTTAAGGGAATTTATCACAATTATATATAATGCCGCATTGATATCATTCTTGGAAAAAAAAAAATTCTAAAACAAATTTTGAAAAAAAAATTCAAAATAAGTACACTGTGAGCTAAAGTTGTTGCTGGGAGAATTGTGTATGAAAGAGAGGAATTCAGGATTCATTTGAAGTAACTGAAACAACGCAGCTTTTTTACGAAAAACTTGGTGGGCGGAGAGTTGGAGTTGACGGAGACATGGGAGTGGATGATAAATCGATTGCCCTTGATGCCGTCAACAAGGAAGCTGTTGATCTGGTATGTCCTTAGAACTATCAATTGAACCAAAATCCATAAGTCTGTTTGGTTGTGTTTTTGTTTTCCGTTTTTATCTTCTAACCTTCCCTTTTCAGTTACAATTTTGTTGCCTGTTGTCTCCTCAGAACTATCAATTGAAACAAAATCTATTGAGTTACAATTCTGTTGTTAATGTGCTTTTTTTTTCCTTATTTTCTTTTTTATGTTAATGCTCTTGTACACCCTTGAATTCTTTCATGATGATTAGTGTGAATATAAGAACTAGAGAGTGTATTTAAATTAATCTGCTGAGTTAGTATGAGAAGTCCAACAAAATGATTTGGTTCTTCTTGCAAGTCTTCTTAATTTCGTTACATGTGTTTTTCTATGCTTCAAATGAATATAACATTTGATGAATTAATTTCTGGAGGGGGATATAAAAAAATAAAAAAATAAAATAAAATAAAATAAAGGGAAAAACAAAAGACAATGGAAAAAAGCTCAATAAATGATGTAGCAATGATAGCAAGAGGGAACTAGCTATCATTCTCATATCCATGAGGTAAGCCTTGAATCCACCAAGAGAAAATACCAAGATCAGTAATGTTATTAAAGTTTCTATCCTTCAATGGACACTTACAACTCTATAAACTGAATTATCATATTCTTAAGAAAACATGAAACAAGAAGGAAAACTGAAAACTATATGAAAATAAAAATAAACAAAATAAAAACTAACACTATAAAGTCTTGGAACTATGCCAAACAAACGGGGTTAAAATTTAAACTCTTTATTAAAGTTATGGCTATAAGAATACTTTCCACCTATGAAGCACGGACACTGACACTGACACTGACACTGACACTGACACTGACACGGACACGGATACGGACACGGGACACGGCAATTTTCAAAAAATGGGGACACGGACACGGCAGGGGACACGGCGATTTATATATATATATATATATATTTATGTGTTATGACGACTTTGACTGGTTACCCAAACTCGACAACAAGCTTTGTCCATCATGAATAAAGATGATATTGAATTTGTAATTTGCTTCATGCAGGGGAACATGCCCCTCAAAGAAGTATTTGAACATCTCAAATGTACAAAAGAGGGTCTGAGTACCGATGCAGTTCAAGAACGGTTGGAACTGTTTGGATACAACAAACTTGAAGAGAAAAAGGTTAGGAAAATTTATGTTGGATAACTTCCTTTTCTTTTTCCACATCTCATCTTATCTCTATTTTTTTTTTACACGGCGTGATTTATTGTATACTTTTCTTTCTTCCCTAGGAAAGTAAAATATTGAAGTTTTTGGGCTTTATGTGGAATCCTCTGTCATGGGTCATGGAAGCAGCAGCTTTAATGGCCATTGCTCTTGCACATGGAGGGGTAAATTTACATGCTCTTATCTTACTTTAGTATAGTGTTGACTTATCATTTAGTCAAAGCTTCATTATTATATGCACGCACGCGCAAGACAATTTAAGATTATTCCCTGCCGTGTCCCCTTCCAAAAAAATCATTAAATTAAAGGGACACGCCATCTGGCGTGTCCCGTACGTGTCCACGGCGTGTCCCCGGCTTGTCCGCGTGTCGGACACTGCTACTGCATCAATTTTGGAGTGTCCATGCTTCATAGCTTTCCACAACTACAAAATAGCAAAAACAAAATTTTGAAAGCCTAAATGATAGAATTTGGCCAAAAATGGCTTATCACCGCTATGCAGCGAGTTTCAGCCCACTGGCCGAATTGGGCCATGCCGAATCAAACATGGGTGTTTCGGTCCAAATTTGACGACTTTGACTGGTTACCCAAACTCGACAACAAGCTTTGTCCATCATGAATAAAGATGATATTGAATTTGTAATTTGCTTCATGCAGGAGAACATGCCCCTCAAAGAAGTATTTGAACATCTCAAATGTACAAAAGAGGGTCTGAGTACCGATGCAGTTCAAGAACGGTTGGAACTGTTTGGATACAACAAACTTGAAGAGAAAAAGGTTAGGAAAATTTATGTTGGATAACTTCCTTTTCTTTTTCCACATCTCATCTTACCTCTATTTTTTTTTTTACACTGCGTGATTTATTGTATACTTTTCTTTCTTCCCTAGGAAAGTAAAATATTGAAGTTTTTGGGCTTTATGTGGAATCCTCTGTCATGGGTCATGGAAGCAGCAGCTTTACTGGCCATTGCTCTTGCACATGGAGGGGTAAATTTACATGCTCTTATCTTACTTTAGTATAGTGTTGACTTATCATTTAGTCAAAGCTTCATTATTATATGCACGCACGCGCAAGACAATTTAAGATTATTCCATACTGACAAACCTTATTTTGTGCAGCATAAGGGCACAGATTATCATGACTTCTTTGGCATCTTGATCTTGCTCATTATCAACTCTACCATCAGTTTTATTGAGGAAAACAATGCTGGCAATGCGGCTGCTGCTCTTATGGCTCGATTAGCTCCAAAAGCCAAGGTTTCCCTCTTCCCGAATAAATACAGATCCAAAAATTTTGTTTTCTATTTCTATTTCCTTTTTTTTTCTCTTGAACTTTCAACATAAGTAAGGGAATGACTTATATTTGACTCTCTAATTACTCCTACCAGGTCCTGCGTGACGGGAAGTGGAGTGGGGAAGATGCCTCAGTGTTAGTTCCTGGTGACATAGTAAGCATCAAACTTGGGGACATTGTACCTGCTGATGCACGCCTTCTTGAAGGAGATCCTCTAAAAATTGATCAGGTATGTGATTCACTCCAAAATATGAGTTATCTCAACTTTTACATACAGTCTAGTTGAAAAAAATAAAAAATAAAAAAATTGTTGTGCACTTCTTTTGCTTGGATCGGTGTTGTAAGCAGTCTTCAGAGTTCTGCATCTAGTGGAAGTTGATAAAGTCTATGAAAACAAAATTTTACATCTAACCCTCAAGTTCTTAGCTCTTACAACTTCATTACGATTTAAAGAGCCAGAGATTTCTTCAAAATAATTTACTTTCCAGGGTTTGAGATATTTAATGTCTCTGACATTTGCAGTCTGCTCTTACCAGAGAATCACTTCTTGTAACCAAGATTTGAGATATATAAATTTCTGATTTATGTTCTCTAGAGGTGGAAAATACTCGGAAGAAGATGCAAAGGCTGTCGTGGTACAGATTTTGAGTGTGGTTGCCTACTGTCATCTCCAAGGTGTAGTTCACCGTGACCTCAAGCCTGAGGTAATGAACTCGGACATTTTCATTATTTTCTTGGTAATTTATAGAACTTAATGTGGAAAATATTACATCTTGTAGCAAGTTCCGGATAGTGTGTTCACACATAACCCTACTAATAGGCTTTAAAACTGTTTTTAACATTTTTCTTCTCATAATCATAAGTTAGTCAAAACATGGGATATAATACACAATTTAAAGAGATCAATAATTCTAAAGCTAACAGACATTAATTTCATCTAATCTAATCCATCCTAACAAATATGTCCTAAATGGACAATGATCTCTAATAGCATTTCAAAGTTGTTTTCATTCATCTCAAATATGTCCTGCCTTTTATTTTGGCAGAGCTAATGCTTTTTGGACTTGTGTCATTGGTAATGGGTCATTGGATCAATCAAGCGAAAGCATTGTTACATAATTTTCCCACTTGTTGGCTGCAGCGGGGAATGGTAACAACTGATCTTCTGTTGTCTGGAGCTTCTACAAAGCAGGTAGAATGTGTATTGCATATTTCCTTGATTTCTTTTGTGAAGCTTTTGGATCAATCAAGTGAAAGCATTTTATTTATTACAGGCCAAGTTTTTCATTAATGTTTTGGTAGAACCGGCAGAAGTGGTAAGAGTTTATTGATGTGGTGATCTACCTAAGGGAGTGATGTACAAACAGTGTTTTTAATTCCTTGTTTTTGAGTTTTAGGTGCTTGCTTTGTTTCAATAGTCATCTGAATTCATGATTATGGATTGTGATGTTCGATGAAATAAATCATATGGTTAGGTTTTCCAAATAGGCAAATGCACATACCAGACTTAGAGATGAACTGTTTAGACACAACATTCTAGGCTATGATCAACTACTGACTGAATTATCTCGTCCCAAACATCAGATCTGTCCCTGCCAATGGATTGAGCAAGCCCACTTACATTCGATTCCTTACTGGCTTGAAGGCATACTCTCAGATATTCTCAGTTAAGTGGAAAAAAAAAATGAAAAGAACTTTTGATTCTTGGTTTTCTATATTTAAATTGTGGTTATTAATTCTTTTGTTTTTTGGCCGGATTGTGTAGAGATTTGCTTTTGGTGCTAGCAGGAATCTATATCTGCTTGAAGATTGATGAGGATCAGAGGTCTAATATGTCCATACAACATATTTTCTTTCACATAAAATTTGTTGCTCTCTCTCTCTCTAGCTTTTGTGGTCAAGATTTGCATTAAATCATTGGCCTAGCTGTTTCTATACGTGTAGCAAACTCAAATGTTTTGGAGACTGTCTCTACAATGCCTTACAATTATTTGCTTATTATTGTGCTAACCAAGATTGTAGAAAATTGATGTAGAAGTTCTGTTGAAATTATATTTTTCTACTTGTCGTGTCGAATTTGTTATTTGACAGGTCTGCAATACATGTGTGTGATATAATATTTTTTCTTTTTATTTTTTGGTTGTGTTTGTTGCTTGATTTTGGTTTAGAATATTTTTTCTTTTTAATTTTTGGTTGATTTTAGTTTTGAAATCTAACAGAATGCACAATCTATAAAGAACGAGAAAAAAAAAAAGAGGCTATAATGGCGTTTTTCGAAACGCCACTATAGTGCCAAGTCATATTTTTAAAATAAAAAAAATCTATCATGGCGTTTTTAAAATGTCGCTAAATACTGGATGACGTCATTTTACCGTTATTTACCACATTTAGTGGCGTTTTTAAAAACGCCGTCTATACTAATTTAGTGACGTTTTTAAAGCGTCATAACGTTATAGCGACGGCCGCGTCTTCGGCGTTTGGTACTAAACGTCACAAAAAGAATTAACGGCGTTTTTATACCTATAGCGGCGTTTTTCAAAAGCCACTAAATGTGGAATTTCCAGCAGTGTCGTTTCTCACAGATTTGGTAAAGTTTGTGTTAATCTTCTACGCATTTGATATGATCATATGAGACACTTGTGGAATCTAGATTATTCATAGGAAAATAAGCTTAGGTGTTAGCCGAGCTGAAAAATATATATAGTTAGACTTTGTGTCTTGCTGGTAGGAGAAAAACGTAATAGGGTGATTTTAATAAAATTTCTCCACGTATTTGGATATAATTTCAATGTTGTTAAAAAATAGGCTGAGAAAAATAATATGTAATATATCTAGGAAAAATAGGCTGAGAAAGATAATATGTAATATATCTAGGAAAAAAGATATTCCCTGGTAGGAGAAAAATTATATTAAAAAATAATATGTATTGCATTGAATTAATTGTATTGAATGATAGAAGGCTTGTATATATAGGCTGAGAAAGAGTATCCTACTAGAAATCTAACTATGAGAAAGAGTATCCTATAAGAAACCTAACTATAATAATATCTAATATATCTAGGAAATCAATATCGTAAAAATATATACCATATATACATCAACAAATGTGAAAGCATTTTCGACAATTGCTATTCATTGTGCTATTGCTAAAATTTAACAAATGTCAAAATTCCTGCTCTCAATACATCATGATCTGTTCATTTTCATGTAAAAAATTACACTTTAAAAAAAATTAAAAATCATTTGAAGATTTTTATTAAGAATCAAGTTCTGAGTTTATATTTGAGCCGCTGATTTTGTAGTTTTTCGTGCTTGTAGGCTTTGCCAAACCAACAGACTGTTGATTACCTGAGCTTCAAGCTCGTCATTGTTGGTGATGTTAGAACTGGTATTAAATTTTAATTTTTACTTTTTAAAATTCTTTTAATTTGAATTTTTTTTTGGTTCTGTAATATCGAAAAAATTATTTCTTTAAATCTCTGTCAAGCTTGGGGATATAAGAATTGTTTGGCACTGAGGAAAGATGAGCGTGTTGTGATTCTTTAGCTCATTTTTTTCCCTCAGAGCTAAAGTGAATCCAAAAGTATGTTTAGGGATTGTTTGGTTTCGTTTTCACTGTTTTTGTTTTCATTTGTCATTTTTGTTATTCATGTTTTCAAGAAATAAGAGAATGAGAATTTCAAGCATACCCTTGTTTTCATATGTTTTTTTAGTTTTTATGAATCCATTTTTTGAGAATTTGGAAAGCAATAAACAATTGTTTCCTAAAAATGGGTGTTTCAGAAAAGAAAAGAAAAGTAAAATCCTGAAAACAGTTTGCCAACTGAGTTCTGTTTGTGTTGCTTATTTCTTTTCCTGTTAGGAAGAACAATATAGAAAACAATTTTCAATATTGAAGCCAAACACATCCTTAATTTTTCAAAGAAAGGTTTGATTTGAACTATTTCACGTGCACGAAGTTGAACAGTAGGTTGCTTGATGAATTTTGGTTCTTGTTGCTAAATATGTTTGAATGATGCAGGGAAAACAACTATTGTAAAGAGGCATCTCACTGGTGCATTTGAGAAGAAGTACAAACGTAAGTGTATCAGTAAAAACCTGATCTTTCTTAGGTTTGATTGTTTAATTTAATTGCTTATACTTGATTGTATTTTTGTATGTGGAGGAGAAGAATTATAATTCTAAGCGACATGATAATTTCCCCTTTAACTGAGTTCAAATTATTTTTAGTACCATACATGCATGCTTATTTGATAATTATTGTTTTTGTTTTAAACAGCAACCATTGGTGTCGAAGTTCACTCTTTGGACTTCTTCATAAACTGTGGGAAAATCCGATTTTATTGCTGGGATGCGGGGCAAGAGAAATTTGGTGGTCTTAGAGATGGTTACTAGCAAGTGCTTGCACGTGAGTAGTTACTATTTCCAAATCTAGACAGCTGCTGCTTATGGATATGTGCATGAGTCTTTTTTCAAGATTCATTTAACCAGGAGAATTCAACATGATGTTGTTGGAACCAATTGCTTGATGGTAAGATATGTTGACTGTTATAGCTTTCATGTAGTTGTTTCAACATCATAATAAAATATTTGAATGCTGACATGTGATTTTGTTGGGACAATTAAACTCTGCAATTATGCTGTTGTTTGGTAGGAGTAGTTATGGGTTTAAACCAGCTGTAGGGAAGAGGGGGAGTGGGATTAATTTATAACATAATTAAAACTTTAATAAGGAACTGATATTTTCTTTGATTGAGTAGATGGGAGTGCATATTACGTATATACACATTTTAATTATATTTTTACATGAATAGTTATTTGGTGGCACTGGTTATGCTGCCGTTGGATAATTTTTTTTAGGCACAATGAATAAATTTCATATTTAGAATACCTTACTCTAATGTTCCAATCAACATGAATAGAAAAGCTGGGGTTGCTTTAGTTTGCAAATTTTGTTGGTAACAGGAAATATTTTATATGATCTAATAAGTAATTTGGTAATGCTGGTGTTGGATTATTATTCTTGGTGGAAAGTTTTGCCAGCAGCTTCAAGCATTTTGCGACAAAGTTGGCCAACATTGTAGTACTGATATCAACATGTTGAAATAGGCTGCATCTTGATACATCAATTGATATATATGATATTGATGGAATAGTCATTTGGTATGGATAATAATATTGCAAAATTTATCAAGATGATAAATGATTTTGATATTTTGACTTTAGTTTTTGAGTTTTATTATTATTATTATTATTATTATTTTTGCCAGATCAATGCATCATTGATTTGTCTTTTGCTTGGAATGCACATAGAAGCTCCAAGTCAAGGTATTTGTCCCTCACTAAATATCCTTCATACTTTAGACTAAACATGAATACTTGCAGTGTATTAAGTTCTCTTTTTGGTAGCCAAATCGAGGTGCATAAAAACATTAATTGGATGCATTTGTTTTTATTAGATCTAGGATTTTTAAAATTTATCATAGGAAATTTGATGAGCCCCTAAGTGTTCCATTTTGTCTTTTTTAATTTCACATGCATTGACAGTATGAAATGATAGTGCCCAGCCAGTAATAATACTTGAAATCTCCAACTGTCTGAAGCAACAGATCAAGTATTTAAATTAAGTAATCAAAGTGTTTCAGTCTGAATTAACATAACCAGGCCCAAGCATTTATAATTATGTGCATGGCAACCTGTAGAGCTTTGATCTCTCTTTCTCTCTGCCCCCCTTTTGTTTTTGGTTCTTGATCCGATTTTTGTTTTTCAATCTTTGTTTACATTTTCTTTGTTTTACCTCTCACTAAACATCAAGTTGATTCATACAAACATTTAATACCGTTTCACTCTGCTGGTGTCTAGATCACTGATGGTTGAGATACTAGCCCTCCATAGTTGCAGTAGCAACATTCCTGGCTGCAACATGTTAGAGAGAGAGGAGGCACTTGGTATGATTTTATAGCATAAGAGGGTAAGGAAATTGTGCAAGGTTCTCCCATGTAGCAATACTGTGCATCAGTTCTGACTTTACCCCTATCATACAACATGCTTGGATGTATGATGCAAGTTACTTGTGGCTGAGGGGGAAGAGTTTTTTCTCTTTTAGTTATGTGAGGACTAGTGGTGGTGTTGGCCATGCAGTGTGTATCCTTGTGATCCTCGGATGATTTATTCTTGCCTTTACACTCTCTTTGATCTTATAGAGAAAAGGCATAGTAATAGGCTATAAGGCATATAATATCAGGAAGTAGGCTATGAGGTTCAAGAGTCAATGGAATTAGTAATAGCTTGTGATTGAATTAGATACTATTGAAAAATTAGAGAAGAAGAAAAAGATTAGCTTAGGGATTATTCTTATAGTTCCTTATCTTATGCAATTACTACTAAGTACTCAAGTAGAATTACATCACATTGTCCCACAAAGCGCCTAAAGCTACTAAAACTTACCTTGATTTCTTCTATAATGGATTGAAAGTTTCTTTTTAAACTTGTAAATAATAGAGACCCTAATTTGACTTGGACTCTTTATTTTGGAACTTACAATGGTAATGGATAAAACCTATACAAACTTAAACCTCATACATAGAGATCCTTAACATAATTATGCAAGTCCCAAGTAGGTGTTGCATTGAAGTAGATTAATTCCACCTCTTCCTCTTTTTAAATTTGATATTTCTCTTGAGCTTCTTATGGTACATGTTATATGATAACAATATCAAATTGCTACCATACAATGACTTATAGATAGGTACATGTTATATGATAACAATATCAAATTGTTATCAAAGAGATTTTATAGCATTTTGAAATACTATGATCACTATTTTAAACCAGCCCCTAATGCAACCTTACAAGTTACAGGTGTTGTTGGCTGGTGTAGAGAGGGTCTTGTTTATAAAAAGAATGAGGTAATTTCATTTTTCTCTCCAATCTCCTTTCTGGTGAATGTGGCCACCTCGCTGGGTTATAATGCTTATGTCTCTTTACAAGTCTTTCTGGATATTGCGGAAAGTGTCAATCTTCTTATGTCGTCAAAAGGTGTGAAAGGTTATATTTTGGGATTTTGGTTGATGTACTCCTACTTTGGTCACTCATACACATATGGTAATTATAGGTAGTGTTTTGCGTTGTGATGTGACTGGGAAAATTCTGATGAAGTGCTTTCTTTCTGGAATGCTTGATTTGAAGTTGGGTTTAAATGATAAAATTGGCCTTGAGAAAGAGTTGCAAATTAAATTACGTCCTACTAAGAGGTAACTTCTGAAGGCATCCTTTTTGCGTACTACCCTCTCATATTCATTTGTCTGTTACACTTATTTTGGAATTTAAGCAAACTCGTGCTTCCTTCTTTTCATCCTGTAATATGTCATTTTATTTCTTATTTTTTATTTCTGAGTTTTATTATAAATGATTTTGGTTCGAGTTCCTCATTTAGATATGTTGTGAATCCATGTTCCCAAAGTTGTTCTCACATATTCTTTGCATGCATTCTTAAATGTATTGAGGGATATATTTCATAATTTACAAATGTTCGAAGTAAAATTAAATTGCCTAATTGGGTTTGTTAATAATTTGTTTTTTTAAAATTTGTTTTGAGAAACTGTCTTCTATCACCTCCTAGGAAAGAATGGTTTTGAACTTTTTAGTTCATATTTTGGATGATAATGCTTCAATTTTTTTTTTAAATTTTTTTGAATTTGCAGTTTTATAGAAACCTAGGAAACAGCTTGATTCTTTTATTGTAGCTATTTCAGTGTTGTATTGAGCATTGCATCTTGTTTGCCCATGTTGATTAAGTGGTTGGCTGAGCATGCAATTTTAATTTGTGTCTCTGCTTGATGGATTCCTTATGCCTTTTCTATAACCTAATCTTTGCCCATGTTACCTTGCGCAGTGGGAAAACTATAGAGCTCGATGATGTTACTTTCCATAAATGTGTAAATCTGACAAGGTTTAACTCAAAAAAGACTGTCAGTTTTGTGCCACCAGATAGTGAATTCGAATTGATGAAGTAAGCTTATAGTCTCCTTTTCAATTATGAACTATTTTGGTTATTATTATTTAATTTAATTTATTGTAAAAATAAAAATACAGAACCTGTGTGACCTTGGGTAAAACCCAGGCCACCCATGAACAAGTTGTAGATTTTGTAAGTGGATTTGGATTTTCAATAGTTGACGTTGTGTTGAACTTCATTAACTTTTACTCTCATATACACACATCAAAAGAAGGAAATAAAGCTAATGTGTTTCTTGTCTGTAGAATTGTTTTTTAAGTGTATTCAAATCTCTTTATACAATATTTGAGTGTATTTTTTTTTTCTCTTTAAAATTGTGATATGTTTTCTCTTCTATTGGTGCAATTAGGTGAGCCTTTTGGTATTGGAAAGATTGTTTTTGTTCTATTGATGTAAGAAACGTCTTCTATTCCTTTCTTATATGTTGGTTCCTTTTATTTTTTCTGGATATATATTTTTCCTTTTTCTTACAAAAATTCTGTTTTGTTTTTCTTCCTTTCCTTGTCCTTGACAGGGTTGTTTGATTGTATGCCTTTGACTGAAGTCACAACATGTATTTGTTATTGTTGTTGTATTTTTTTGTTTTTTGTTTCCCGAAGTATTTATTGTAGAGTTCCGCCAATTTTAGAACCAAATCAGAAACTAATAGAACTCAAGCCATAGTTAAAATATGGCACCCAATCCTTAGTTTCAATAATTATTTACATTGAAGACTTAGTTTTAATAAAAAAAATTTCCCTTTGTAAATCCGTTAGATTCTTATAAAATTGTGATTTCTGAAATGGGTTTGATGGGTTTTGATTTCCGAAATTTGAAATGGTTTGAATCTTTAATTTGTTCCTTAATGGGTTTGAATCTTTAATTTGTTCCTCGCTCCTCTTTCTTTGTTGATTTCATTGTTTTTACCAGTTACCAAATAGAAATTTCTGACTCTAGAGCAGGAATTGAACTACTTGACATGATTCTCACCAAGGTAATCTCTTTTTCCTTCTCTTTCTGCTCTGTTTTGTTACCCAAAAAAGGTGCAAAATACAAACATTTGATTTTTGGTATTATGGGTTTTTAATTCTTGAAACTTTAGAAAATGAAAACCTCTTTTGGGTTTAGGGGAGAAAACCCACCAAACAAAGAGGAGTTTATGTTATTTTGAAATGATACCCTTATGACCCTAATTGTTCTTTTCATTTTGTGAAGCAGTTTCTTCAAGTATTGCATTATGTTGGAGTTTCTGTTATGTTTACTTCTTTTGCTTCTGCTACAAATGTTTTTGGTTTTGTATCCACTCGTGTATGCATTTTATTGGACAATTTTGCATCACCTAAAATGTTCTTGTCTTATAATTTCTCTCTTACAAAGCTTTTAATTGACTTAATTTTTTGAGCTTTACACCAAACACGTAAGCAGTAGATAATTTCATTATTCGAAGCCACCTGCATGCTTGTGTTCCTATGGCCTTTTTTGCTTAAGACCATTTAAATGTGTTGCTATATGGAAATAATGTTCCTTCTTTTTTTTTTTTTTTGGCAAGTAAATAACAATGTCCATTCTGTGAATAGGCAATCATGGCTTTGAAGGCTAACACCTGATAGCATGGTTTTGGGCCAGATTTTAACTAATGTAGCTGTATGTTATGGCGAATTGTAGATCAGCAATTTATGTTGAACTTTACAGTGAGTTGTATAAAATGTTGTCAGTTTTTCTCATTCATACTATCATCAAAATCTTTTTAAGCTTGTAATGTATTCATTTTTTTTCATAATATACTGTTGTTCTCTAAGCGGATTTCAATGAAGAATTTTAAAAGCGGGCGCGTTCACACGATGATAACATCTACATTCAGTCATATCGATATTGGGCACTTTGTCTCTAACATGATTGGACTTTACTTCTTCGGGGTGAATGTATGCATACATGCCTCTTAATTTTCATTTTGTTCAAATTATATTAAAAAAAAAAAAAAAAGAACATTTACTTACCAGTGTTCGTGATTATAATTTGATTTCACTTGGAAAATTGGTAGTAAATTTTGCATAGGAGGGGAAGGGGATTGAGTTTTTCATCATTTCATCTAATCTAGGAACCTGGTATGTGTGCACTCATGTGCCTTCCAATTTCATCATGATTAAATGAATAAAAAATTGCATTACCTGTGATACTAGTCTTGGTGGTCAACATGGTATTTGGTATGTGTTGCTTTACAACTACAAAATTAAGATTGTCCTTGTTGAATAAGCAAATGTGGATTTACATAAGTTGATGGAGTTGTTCTCAATCATTCTTTTGTTCTTGCTGGTAATCAGAGTCCATTTCAGAGTTTTTTTTCTCCCAGGAGAAGTGATAATGGAACAGGGAAATGTGGTAGATCAATTTTATTTTGTCTGTCATGGTATGCTGGTGTGATACTATCTTGTATTGACTTTTGTTTATTAATATTTATTTGATTATCGTGAGTTAGTGTCTTTTTATTCGTTCTTTATCTTATTCTGTTTCTTTTAGATATATACTTTTCAGTTCCTTATTCTCATGCATGGTATATTAATTTATTTTTTGATTTACGGTTGCCTGTCCTGATGTCACCATAAATTAGTTGTTTATTTAAACAAAAATACATAGGCATAACTCTATTTAATTTTTCTTCAGTCTAGTTGTCTTCACAATATAGTCCTGTCATTGGAGGACATCAGTACTATTCATCAGCTCATGTGGTTTGGAGTGTGAGGTTAATCCTGATTAATTTGAATCATAACACTCCCAAAATGAAACATTTAACTACTACTTAACACCAATTGGGTCTTTGCTCACCTTTCTTTTCTTTCTCATTACACCTACTTGAAGAACAAACATTAAAAAGGGGCTCAGGGATCGTCATGGTTGAATTTTTTTGTTTATTGTAGACAGGGTTGCGAAAGAAATGCCTATCTTGAACCCACCCGCTTGCCATTGCCATTTACATTTCTAGAAACATAACCATTATGTTGAATTAGAGTATTTCTAAGTAGTTCCCTAGGGAAGTTGTTACTAGTTTTTCACATTTTAATATTGATAAAAGACTATTTATGTATAGGAGGACGTTGATGTAGGGGCAGATGGATCAGAAGAGACTGTTTCTAATTTGGAACCTAACAATTTAATTGGTGAAATTTCTATTCTTTGCAACATACCTCAACCTTATACTGTTCAAGTTTGCGAGCTATGTAGGATTCTGCTCCTTGATAAACAATCATTCTCAAATATCCTTGACATATATTTTCATGATGGGTGAAGAATCTTGATCAACCTTCTAGAGGTAATTCAGTTGTGCTAAAATGTTATTGCCTCTCTTATGTTGTTTCTTGCACTTGTTTTTCTCTCATGGCATCAGTACCTACAAATGCATGTTAATTTGTTTTGTATAAACTTTATCGAATTAATTAATTTATATGCATCAAATGCCTAAAATAGTATAAGTTGACAAGGAATAGAATCAAATGTTTATGTGAAGCAATTGGAATCTGATATCACATTTCATATTGGAAAGCAAGAAGCTGAACTTGCTTTAAGAGTTAATAGTGCAGCTTATCATGGAGATCTGTATCAGCTCAAAAGTTTGATCTGAGCTGAAGCTGATCCTAAGAAGACAAATTATCATGGAAGATCACCATTGGTATGATTTTAGCTTTTCACTACGTCAACAGGTTAATTTTCAGTGGTTTTACTTTGTTGCTTCTTGATTCTTCAATCTGGTGCTTATTTTACAAAAAAGAAAAAGAAAAAAAAAGAGGGTATTATATTATTGGAAATACGACTTAGTTTTTCTTTGATTTCTTGTCTTTCTGAATTTAAGTAATTCATGGAGTTAATTTTAAGATATCCTGCTTGCAGTTTCCTTTGTCATGCAGACAAGAAATGCAAGAGAGTTAGTTGCTCCAACTATTGCCGTGGGTTTAGGTGCCTTTACACATACATTGGGCACTCTCGTCCCTGTGATAGGAGCAAGTGGATTTGCTATAGCTGCAGCTGCAGCTACAACTGCTATAGGAATTGTTGTCGGTAGTTTTAGATAATCTCTTAATAGTTGGCGATATGTTTAGAAAGTTAGATATACATAGTTTTGGATGGTTTAAACTTTTTATACAGTTTAGAACTTAAGGATATAGTTTTTGAATGTTTGGAATGTATAGACAATTGTTGAATGTTTATAATTTATGGATATAGTTTTTTTTGGATGTTTCAAACAATATTTTGGTAGTTGATTGATGTTTTGTGATGCTTGTTTGTAATATTTGTTAAATTGTATAAAATTGGTCAAATAGAACCTGCTGAATTTTAAAAAAAAAAAGCTGCATATTCTACGGTAGACATAATAAGTTGTTGTATAGCATATTTAACGATGTGCAATCAGCGTCGTTATTTGTCTCACCAATTGACAGCGTGCAAAAGTAATAATAAAAAAAGTAATAACGATGCACAAAATCTGTCGTTAAATAGTTTTTAACAGCATACTATAACATGTCGTAGAAAAAGTAACAACGACGCACAAAATCTGCCGTTAATTAGTTTTTAACGGCGTACGAAGCATGTCGTTAAAAGTAAATGACTTTCAATGACTGGTCATAATATGACGTGAGCTTGCATGTCGTAGAAGGGTTTTTACGGCGTGCATTGCGCGCTGTAAAGACCCTTTTTTGTTGTAGTGAACAAAGGAGACCCAATAGATTCGTAATCTCTGATTGTCCCTCGTCGATGGCGGACTCTCCCTCAGCTGTTGACTTTATCTCGCTCTCTCCAGCGTTAACGAGGAACAAAAGTTTTCCAATAAATTTTAGTAATGGAGTTGATCTTAAGATTAATAAACTGTCTTGTATTTGTAAGTAACATTAGAAAAATATATAAAATAAAATTAAATAGAAATAACAAAACAATCTTGTTATTTTTTTATATTAAAGAATGAAATGCATAATAAATTACAAAACAAAAAGTACAAGAATGAATTAGATTATTTCATGAAACTCGGATAAACAAAATTATTAATAGAACAAATTATTAACATAGATAAAATATAGATTAGAACTCATCGAAGTAAAATTAATGAAAGATCAAAGAACAAATGACCAGAAAGGAAGCAAATTGAAGCATGTGGTTACATAGTTTCTTAAAACAGATTTGTTGCCTCGTCAATGGGTGCTGAAGGAACGTCAGCGTTTGTCTTCCAGAATACGACTGTTGAAATCAGCTACGGATAGCTTCGGCTAATTGACTAAGGGCAATACTCTTTCTCTAATAAGAACAAAAAAGAAGAGGCTAGTAAAAAGTAGATAGGTAAAAAAAAAAAATTTTTGAATTTTTCCTTTGGTGTAAACACATCTCCAACTTTCTCACAAAAAGAAATCACAAATTTTCCGTCTCAACAAATCCTCTCTTCTTCTCTTTTTTAAGTTGGAGGGGAAATACCACTATTTATACTTGTAGGGGAAAGTCTTAGCCATGAATGTTAACATTAATAGGGTCATCAAATTGCCATCAAATGTCATCAACTCTAACCATTAGGAGTAGAATTACAAAAGTTAAAAACTTTTAGTCACTAATATGGTCATCAACTCCATCATCAAAAGATAAGTGTTACAAAAGTCTATAACTCTCATGTGCTTAATATATACAAATAAATATGTATATAATAATGTTAGAATAATTCAAACAGATGGGTTGCAAAACGGATATGAATTTTGGGTTACAACTCGATCTAAGCCCAATCTCAAACACATGATAGCTAAGTCTAACATAGCACAGCTCAGTCCATGCTCAAGACTAGATCTAAGTCCAAGTCCAAGACCAAACCCAGCACAAGCACAAACACAAGTCTAGGCTCAGTCGAAACCAAGACTAAGTCCAAATCTAAACTCAACTTTCATTGATGTCCATTTTATGAGACAATTCTCATTCACAATCTAATGATTTCGGCATATTATTTTTGGGTTGAAACCTTTTCACTTAGGAGAATATAAAACCACTTAAACTTACCTCAGCTGGTGATTGAGTCTCACTTTAATTTTACATTAAAGTTGTCAAAAAAATCATTATTTTCCAACAAGTGTCCTCCAGCCAGCAAAACTACTCCACGATTACTTAAACAGTTTTTCACTCCAAAGGATCCCATTCCCATAATGTCCCCCATCTTTATGTTCATAACCTTCTTCTATGTATATTCCTAGCTCTCTCCCCACACTCCACTGATTGCTCTCTCTAAGGGGTTGTTGCATTTCTCAATATATTGTATCTAGGTATTAATATTCATAAAGTGTAATGATAATGATTGACATTGATAATTTGTAGTACTGAAGTGTTTAATTTCATTATTTGCTTATGCAATTATATATATATGACTTTTTGTTGACTATCTTTCATTGTCATTTGTATTTCAGTTGGATGCAAAATGGCAACATGGACAGAAAAGTTGTTGAAGGCTTTGCCGTTGATTGGTGTTCTATTCCTCCAGATAATCAATGTGGGGAATACGATCATCACCAAGGCGCTTTATCGCATGGCATGCATTTCTCGGTGCTATCATGTTTTAGAAACATAATAGCATCAATTGCCTTGTTACCCATTGTCTTCATACATACAGAGGTATATAGTTTTATCTCTCTTCTTTTATTCTAGAACAATTTTATTTTTGTTATCAATAATTTTTTTTTATGAATAAAGTAATAATAAAACACAACCTTCAAAAACACAACAGTGAGCAATTGCTGAACAAAAAACAGAGGAGCAGATAAACACATGAACAGATTCGTGATAAACCTGCTTCTAGCTAATCATATCATATATATCATTCAAAAGTAGGGACATCCTAATTTATAATTTATATGTGCACCTTAGGGATTCATTCATGAAAATGTAAATAGGAACATCTAGATGATATAATACAAAGATCATTAAAATTTATGATCATAGGTAAAGAATGGAACTTGAGTTATTTAATAGATCATTAAAGTCTTTGCATATTTTTATATAATGCATAAATTATTATTTCCAAAAGTGGCATGACTAGGAAATTGATAACTCTAAAAATATGGACTTCTCTATAAGATCTAAATCATTTTATTAGAAAGAACATTACAATAGTGGGGAAAAAAAAAAATATTAAATTTAAATAATTTTTTTTGAATTGCCCCAAATCTATCTCAATGACTGATTTACTACTACCACAACACTAAGGCACACTGCACCAAATTCAGATGTTGGAAAGACACCAACAACACAAGAAATACTCATCAAAGCAAAATGCAAAAAAACAGAAAATACTCACTCCTTAATCAATTTTAGTGTTTCTTACCTCAATGCAATGCACAAACACATTAGAACTCTAATTTTCCCTGAGATCTTCTTTAGCTTTAACCCAACTACATGTTCTGAACTCTATGAAGTATGGACTTTTTTGGCAAACATATTGTGTCCGTATCAGATATATAATGAGTACACGAAACAAGTACTTAAATTTCTTTTCTAATTTATTTTATTATTTTTTTTTTTGTGTCCCAGACGTACTTAGTATATATACCCAAGTTGTATCTCAACCAGACTAGTAAGCTTTTCTTAGAATTTTTTTTTAATGGCTTGCATTATTTTAAAATCAAGTTAATGACATTTAATTTTGATTTATACATTACTTTTTGCTCTAAATGTGAGCTGTAGATTTAATCTCAGCAAACTAAAACATTTTTTTTTTTGTTTTTCTAATTTTGCTGTTGATATCATGCTGGAAATGGTTTTGAAATTTTGGCCTACTTGGAACCAATATTGAGGTAGGACTCACGTACTTTTGAAGTTGGTCTGAGTGGTTATAGGTATTATGTTGTGTGGTGATTTGTATTGTGTAATTGGTTTGATAAAATCATTTACGAGCAAATGAAAAATTGATATCAAAGTAACCTCCATAAGGAAGTGTTGGTGCAAGCATATTATTGGAAAACTATGAAAGCTAGATGAGTTTATAAGCTCTAGGATTGGATTTGGGTTTGGATTCCAAGAGCACCCCAATTTTGTGTAGGAGAGTGAGTTAGATAAAGACACACACATGCGCCACCACTGCCCCACTTGCTCAAATGTGAGGTCGGGGTACTTCGTATCTAATTATTTGAATTTCAATTTTGAATTGTTGCGTTGCATCCCTACCTTCTCTATGATCACGTCTATTTGTTGTTGGCGATGTCTATTTTTGCTACAAACAACCACTTCAATGGCTATAAATACTCCTCCTCCAGCCAAGCCTCATACCCAAATTTTTGACTCTTCGAATTTTTTTTTATTGCACTGCAAGTTTGTATTTACAATTGTTACATTCTGTTCAAATTTCTAGTGTGGCATATCCGCTATTATTTTTTATATTCTGAAATTCTAAAAATTAAAAGTTTTGTTAAAATCTTAACTTTGTTTTTTCCAAATTATTTTATGTACATAATTTATGTTCACACAAGTACATGTACACTAGATTCTAACACCCATACTTGTACACATGCTTCAAACCCTGCCACTTTATAACCTCTGACCAGACTTTCCAAGAAGAATTAGAGTGTAAAAGAAGGTGGTTTGCTCTTTCTTCATATCATTGATTGTATCTCTTCTGATTGTCTTAGCTACCAGTTTAAGATTGTAGCTGAACCCTTCCTCAAATTTTCATTGCACAAAAAAAGTTCAAAGATATTAATGTTTTGTTTTAAATTCCGTTGTATTTAGTTTTTGGTATACAATAGAAAAACTTACATATGCATAATAAAAAAATTGAAACTTACGACTTCTACATACATATTTTTGTTTTTGTCAACAGACATTCATTGCCCAACATGACGATGGGGGTATTCCTACAGATTTTAGCTCTAGGAGTTCTCGAGTAAGTACATTAGTGTGAAAATCATAGTGAGAAAAAATTATTAGAGTTTTAAATACTAATAAACCGTAAATTTATGGAACAGGCCAAGTCTAGATCATAATTTGATGTATGTTGGATCCAAACAAACACCAGCTAGTTTCTTGTCTTGTATGGCTGGTGTCCGTCCTGCATTGACCTTCATTGCTGCTTGGATTTTTAGGTATGTTTTGTAACTTAATTAAAACTTACATATATTAATTCCAAATTCACATAATATGTTTTTTATATATTTATTTATATTGTTCGGAAATTGATATTCAGATTAGAGATAGTCAGATTTAATCAAAGGCGGAGCCAGGCAAAATTGTTAGGTACTATAATTATGGCAGGAGGCGCCATAATTATAGGACTTTATAGTGGCCCTACTATATCTTCATCATTCCACTCGGATATTTGTGAACAAGATTCTGGGATTAAAGAGGACTATATCGAGGGCTCTACCTATGTCTTCATTTCAGTGGTCTCATTTATCCTCTACATCATTTTATCAGTAAGGTTTTCATTCATTTATTTATTATATTTTATTGCTACAACTCCCTTGTTTATTGATGTTGTCACTGTTTGTTGCTTTTACCATTTGTTACTCTTCATTGAACAAAAAGAAAAATTGCTACATGAATGTTCTTTAATATCCATAACTTTTGTGATATTCCAAATTAGAGATAAATCTTCTCACTAACCTAAGAAATATTCATTAATTAATTTGGTGAGTTTAATGGATATTATCAAAGATTCGATGTAAGTAAAACTTTCTCTATGATGTACTTGTTTAGACCTAAGAAATATTCATAAATTATCATGAGTTTAATAAATATTATCAAGATTCAATGTGGGTTGGATTTGCTAGAGTGTTCAGCTACCCTATTGGTTAGGTTGAAAAATTATTTAGAGCTACTGATTTTATAAGATATATAAAATATTAATAACATCCACAAATAGATCTAATTATTGGTTTAAGGTTTCTTTGAGAGCTTTTATCTCTTTATAGGATTATAGTTACATATTGTAGTATGCTTGAGAGAAATTTATTAATTAATGTATTTTTTACAAAGCAAATCAATATCTTCATGTTTATTGACTTTTTAATTTTATTTTTTTTAGGGCAAAGTTGTTATGAAATACCCTGCACCTCTTGCCCTTACGGCATACGTCTGCTTGACCAGAGCCATTATTGACACTGGGGTTGCATTGGCTTTGGAAGTAAGACATAAAGCTTCATGGAACATTGGGTGGGATATAGAACTACTTTGTTACTTCTATGTTGTGAGTAGTACCACCAGTAACTAATTTGTTCATTACTTTACAAGTCCATATTTTTAATTTGCTACAAACTAATCTTTGAGTTGACTTTATTTATTGATAATTGCAGGGCCTTGTTGTATCTGCTTTGGCTACATATGTTCAGAATATATTTGATAAAGAGCAAGGGTTCGGTATTTGTCACTGCCTTCAGCCCCTTGTCAATGATTCTGGGGATATTATTTGAATTCATAATACTAGGAGAAAGTGTGCATTTAGGAAGGTATTTACTAAAAAATTCTATACATATGAAATATTTATCTACGAAGTATATCTATATGTGTGCGCTTTTGACTTTGCTATTAACTTCAGTGTGATAGGAGCGATTCCGATTATAGGCGGATTGTTCGCTTTATTATGGGGCAAAAGTGGGATAGAAGAAGCACATGTTTCTTAGCTTCTTCAGAATTGTGCATCATCTTCTGCAATTTTGTTATGGATAGGCCAATTTTATTGATGAAGGCTTAGCCAAGTTGTACGCGCACAATTTTAACAACTTTATATAGAATTGGCCTTGTAATAATCTTCTTAGTCTTTATAGTCATTGTAAATGTATAATTCAATGAAAACTCAAATATTTCCCACCTAGTTCGTTGCCCTGATGAGGCCTCAAACATTTGTCCTTGCATGTTGTGGCTAACAGTTTATGAACACTACTTTAAATTTTAATTTTTGCTATGAAAAAAATTGCAATATTTGTTGAAATATAATTTTGGTCACTAAAACTAGTCAGGAAAACATCTACTTAAATTTTTCTGCAACAAAAATCCCTATAAGTAACTTGCAACAAAAATATAAAAACGATTAGTTAAAATTGAAATTTTTAACAACCAAAAATTTCATCATATCTAATTAATGATTTATGTCGTTAAAAAAAAAAATGATGCTCACAAATATGCTTCATCGTAAATTGCTTAGTACACAACAAAGTCTTTCTGAACTTAAAAAGGATTTGCCTTTGTACAGTTTAGGCGAAACTTTACTCCTAGTTTAGTTTAGTTCACAATGGGAAAATATTATATATTTTACGATTTTAACATCACTTGATTTTAACGACACAATAATAATACCGTGTGGTTTTGTTTTTAGAATTTATTTTTTGTAAAGTTTTTGAAAAAATATAAATTAATTTGACAAAAATAAACACTAAAAATTATGATAATTACTGCCAGATTATATTGACTAGATTTATTTATTCATAAGTTTTAAGTGAAATTTTTTTAATCATTTATTTTTACAATGAGAAAATTCTGAAAAATTTTAGATGTATTGGGTGTTTGTGAAATGATAATTTGTGACTAGTAATGATATTGTTTGTATAAAAATTAACCGCGCTATCAACTGATACCACGTGGCGTTGGTCATGCAAATAAATGGAAATGTATGGTAACTTTTAGCAGAATGTGTTCCTATATTTAAGGAGATGGTTGTTGACTATTATTCCATTTAAACCACTACAAACTACAATCTTGGGATTTGGTTTGTGATCGATATGATACACATAATTCATCCTTCATGTGCAATTGGCTTCAAAGGTCTTAGTGAATGCGACCCAAGTTGTGCCCCAGAAATCCTCGCATACTTTCATCAATAACTGGCGTCTCCTTTCAGTTGGAAACCAGCCAAAATAATCCTCAACTCCACGTTCTCTACTCTGAGCGTATGAAGTGTCTTGGTAATCTGTTCTAACCAGTCTCTTACGGTTTAGACTCTCCCATAAACTCAGGTGAATTGGAGTAGAGAAACTCCTTGGTAAGATTATGGGTACGTCCATCATCCCCCTCATTGCGAGCTAGAACATCTCTCACCGCTCTTACTATCTCACATGCAATCTCCTAGTCCACAGCTGATGCTGCAAGGGCAGATGCTAACAAAACTATTTTGCCCCTAACGACACTTCGATTCCCCACACGACCTTTACTCCTTCATATAGACATCCTATAAAAACCAAAAACCAAAAAACCAAACTTAGTGAACAACACAACAACCTTCCCAAGGCATACACTCACCACCGCCAAGCTACAAGACACACTTAGCACAAAACCCACAATCTTATTGTACATAAACAATTTAAACACTTAATCACATAATCGACTAAAGTCCACAAGGATAACTACTCGTCTCGGAACTCTTAAGAAATTCTCATCAGAAACTACGTTGATCAAGCATGTTTCCAATATGACCTCAAAACAAGTTCACTGGCTACAAGCACTATCTATAAAACTTAACCCCATGCTTACATAAATACAACACATAAATCCTAACATTTAACCTAACTATATGTAAGCATCCTCACCAAGCAAAGAAAACTCATTGTGGTAAAAATCACTTCCCACGAGCCCAAGTCTTTAAACCTGGCTCGCTTTGATACCAAGTTGTCACATCTCACTTTTTTGTTACCCAAAACATTACCAGATTCATAATTAAAAGTCCATTCAACACTGATATAAATGCGGAAGCAATAAAGAAATAGTCAAATACCATTGTTCTCTCTCGTACATACATTGGATGTTAAGTGAATTGCAATTAAATGAAAATGCCCACACGCTTACATTATTACATAAAAATGAAGGGCTTAACCCTTTTACAATAATGGCTTCCCGCCAACAAATATAAGGCCCCTTGACCATCAATTAAAGAAGATCCTTTGACCTTGAACCACTTCTCAACTTGTATCTGAAAAATTATTATTAACATGGGATGAATATAAATTCTAGTAGAGATCCCAAATGATCCTAAACAATAGCAACATACAGATAGTTATGATAATGAATGCACCACACTATACTATATAAGTAATATGACAGTTATATCCAAAATATATTTACATAAGTACATTTTCTCCAAAATTATCCTCTTTAACACACCCAGGTATTAAACCATTCATTTTCTTTCTAACTTTTCATTTTTGTTCAAAAGGGTTACATAATGACACTCCATTGTGAAAATACGTTCACATACACCCATCACACTCTCATCTTATGTCCCAACTCACCACACATACACATCCTCCTTGATTTATAGTCTTAAGTACAAGGGCAATGGAACACCCACAACAATATACATCTACGTATATATCTAAATTTGAATAACAAAAAATAACTCATACTTCTATTTTTACTGGCCCAAGGCACAAAAGCTAATGGTATAATCCATATATCACAACACGCTTTATCGGCCTCACTCGGATGGAAACGGACCCCAATTCACACTCTACATGTGCAAATCGGAAAGGAGAGGAACCTATGTCAAGGCGTCACGTTTTACCAGCCTTGGAAGGAAATGGACCCAATTCACATAATACAACATTCTAGATTACATCGATAATCTATGAATATAACATATATACATATTCTACTCAACAACAATAATGTTATCCTCCACCGATAACTAAGGACAAAACCTCTAACAGTTAAATACACAACTCTCATAATTTCAAATGCATAACTAGTTCCACAATTTCAAATCATTAACGTTTTCAATGAAATCATTTCAAAACAACCATTTCGCCTACTCACTTACCACTTTCCATTTTCCATTTCATTTCACAAAAGACTTACAAACATCATTTTGTTTTCAAAACCAAACCCGTTGCTCCAAATCTTCAACTCTCACAACCATTAGCCAATATCCCCTTATAATTGTCAAAATCCCAATTTGTTGATACACAACCACAACTCAACATGACATAACATTAACCAAATAATCACAAGACTTGATTAACTTCTTTTTTTGCAACCAAGGCTTCAATCCATTAATGTAAACATATAGTCCAACAATTATTCAACTTTAATTCCTTTTGCTTTATTAAACCCTTAATTACAAATTAGGGCTTATCATTATCCCTATATACATGATTTACCAACCCCCGATTATCCAAATCAACAAAGAAACATAAGATTTAAACTCTTAAGACTTCAAACCCTAAACCCCCTTTCATTTTTAGAAAATCACATAATAAACTCATGTTTTTAATGCGATAGAAAATACCACATGTTTATCTATAACAAGATATTGAAAAGGAGTAAGAAATCCCTACCTCTCGAAGTGAAGAGGAGAAAAGTTGAAAAAACCTATGGCTACAAAAACACGATCCGTCCAGATTAAATGAAAGCTCTCACTGAGCTCTAAGTTTCGGTATATGGAACTAGGGGTAGGAAATGGGTAGAAATAAATGAAACTCAAGCTTGAAAGCTTAAAAGAAACAAAAATGGATAAACAAAGGAAAGAGAGAAGAGAGAAAGGCTGAAATATGACTTTTCTGCACATTGACGAACTTACATTGACGAACTTATATAGACTCACCATCGTAGTCGCAGTCTAATAGCTCACAAGCACGATCAAGCAACACACCTGGTTGCAGGCACGACCACGCTGTTTGCAACTCCCCACCGTACGCAACACAATTTTTCCCAAGCCAAAAACTTGAAAGTGGTTTTTGGTTCGATTGAGGCCTATCGTGGGAGCGACCCTCAAGCTCGCGAGCACTAAGGTATTGGTTGCAAGCGTGACCAAACTAAAATAAAAATTCTGGGTTGTTGTTCCGAAGCCAACCCGAGGCATTTTAAGGTCCAAACCCACCAGGTATGGTCAAAGTCACTCGGAACGATCATGTGTCCCAACCTAAAACAAAATGGGTCGGGATTTCTGACCCATTGTGACTCAATTGATTTTACTTAAACTTGTTTTTATTATTTTGTGTATGTTCAATACATTTGAATACATTTAGGTTGGCAAATTTTTGTTTGTGTTTCCTCTTACCATATTCTCTTCCTAACTCACAACCTTTAGGAGATTTTAAGTTCTCTTCATTGAGACAAGCAAAGAACCAAGAGGATTTTATCCCCTTGGGCTTCACACGATCTCTTGAAGAAAAAAAATCAGATTCATTTTCATGTAGGCAATACTTTGTTTTGTCACGCTCGCATTTCAAACCTCTTCACCTAGTCAATATTACATTATTAAGCATTTTTTTTTCAACTTTTTAGTTCTCGTACATAACTTTGGCTCTAAATTACAACAATGTGACATTTTAATGATGAAAGTATAGAATTTTCAAGACTTCATCCTAAAATTTTTTGTTTTTGTTATTTTTAAAATATTTATAAAAAAAATTATTTGCTAACTTAGCATATTAATTATTAAAAAATTATTATTATTTTTTACAACCCTTCCCCTAAACAAAAATATTGCCATAATTATACCATCCTTTTGGAAAATAATAATTATTCCATAATAGAAAAAAATTAATTTTCTTCTTATACCCACTCCTTCTCTTTCTTACTTAAGATCCCAAAATAAATACACAGCCACCATAAACATAGAAGCTCAAAAAGAGGCTTTACAAAAGAACATATTTTAATACAATCATATTTTATTTTTTGATTTTTCAATATTATTTTTTTTCTCTATGTAGTTGCAAGTGAATGGATTAATACAAAATAATAGTTTATCTAAGAAACTCTAAGTGCTTTATAATATTAATCTATGGTCCAGCTTGTCTCCAGTTAGCGATCAAGACTAAACTGTCTAGTCCGTTCCGTGGACAACTTTTGGGCCGCATTTCGATGATTTGAACCGTTTACATTTTAGAATTCGCCGAGTATATTATCCCTGTAAAAAAATCAAGTCGATTAGATAACGGCAATTACGTGTTCGAATCAGTTTTGTATAAAAAA